ATATATAATGTTTAACGAATGAAGATGAATTAGCCTACATTTGTCAAATTTGCATTTCTTATTTGTTACGTCATTATTTTTTTTTGGAGGTGGTTTGGCATGGTCAAAATGTTTTGGTTTCCCAACCTTGAGGTCAATGTTTCTATCCTTCACCACTGTGTATTTCGCTGGAGTCCTTGAGCAAGCCACTTTATCTACATTGCTTCAGTCTAAACAGCTGTATCAACAGGTACCAGCAAATTGCTGGGAGCAACCTAAAGTGGATCAGCATCCCACCCAGGGGGTTGCATACTCACACTCTCATTCACTTCATGTTACTTGAAACTGGAGATAAGCTGGACATATGAGTCTCATGGCTCGGCAAGGATTTACTACTGTTAGTGAACAGAGAGCACAGCTGGGTAAACTGAGAATAGTCGCTGTGTGTGCCCACTGCATGAAGATCTTTGAGTACTGGATTAATGCCACATTGTTATTGCTATTCTCCTTTTGTTTCTGGCGGACGACTGAAGTAACACAATAAAGAAATTTATGGTGATGGTAAATATGTGACAGAAGCTTTACCTTGAAGGGAGACAAATATTTCCCATCTGCAGAAACATCTCCATTACGATTAAGTAAATACTCTCTGGGAATACGAACATTATTAAAAGACATAAAGCCGTTGTCCAGTCCGTTCTGTCCAAGCTTCTTACCCATGTCTCCAACTAGAACACCTGGCAAGGCTTGCAAGGTGTTAGGGTCTCGGACAGGCACAATGAATATGTGTAGACCATGGCATTTACCATCCTCTGTGTAAAGCTGGGCATAGACGCATGCGTGGGTGGCAGTCTTACCCAAGACACCAACCCAACATTTCGTCGCCTCAATATCTGGGGTGTTTAAGATAAACTCCTGAAATAAAACAAATTTAATTTCCCAGAAAAAATTGAATAAATGTAGAGCATATCAATTGTAAAATCATCACAAAAATGTAGAACTAAACTAGTCACAACAATAAATATGATGACTAAATGGCAAATAATATAGCAATTAAATATAATGATATGTATCCAAAATGTGGCAATTATTCATACCACAACTAAGCATGTGACAATTATGCATGTGTCAATTATGCATATTGTGACAATTTTACATACTGTAACAATTTTGCACAATGTGACAGTTATGCATGATTTGACAATCACAAATAATGTCACAATGAGAGAAGTGAAAAGAAAGAATTACCTGAGATCTTGAATCATATGTTGCAGTGGTCCTCATTGCTCTGGTATTTGTTCCATGTGAGAGCTCAGTCAATGCAAAACAACCAATCACCTGCAGCATGCCAAAAATATATTGGATTTATTTGGTGTAAACACCAAGGATAGCCCACGAAAGTCTAGAAGAAGACTTATTTCCAGTGGAGTCCTTCTGGTGATGATTGAGCATTACACCGGGAGACAATCCCCTACTCTTTTTCAAAGAGTGTACTGCGTTCTTTAACGTGCACATGGGCCATAATGCACACAGGACCAACGGCTTAAATGTCTCATCCGAAAGACGGTGCGCTAGTGTAACTTGTATTTCAGCCCTCTAGCTGAAACACAAGGAGAGGCAGCGATGGGAATTGAACCGGGGACCTAGAGATCTCCACGGTTCAGCGCACAGACAGCGGCTACCACCAGATTAGACGACTGAGCTAAGCTGCTTTCCCCTGAAATATTAGAAGTGTTCATAATTCATTTTCATAAGGGGTCGTTCACAATGGTCAACATTTTCACAAGTGCACAAACAGTACGCTGGTGGGGGGGGGAGGGGTAGCCAAGTTTGTATACTTTTACATATGCATAAAAAAACGTTTATTCAAAATAACATGCAGTATTTAAAATAATAGGTTCTTATGACCTACTATAATGCAAACATGGATATAATATACATTTTTTTGTAATCAAGTACAGTACTTAAGTTGACTTCACACAAAAATTTAGAATGGTTTTCAACATTTTTTATCTACATTTTCAGAGTGGACGGTGGGGGTACCGCAGAAGAGTATTGTTTGTAAACTAGTGAAAATGTTGATACAGTAATTGTGAACAACCTCTAACAGTGATGATAAATGAGACTAGATTTAAGATGTGGAATTGTTTCTAGGTGTGAGAAATAGTATGGACTTGCATATCACATAATGTATAGCCTATAAGGGTTTTAAAAGTGGTGTATCTAAGGAAGGGCATGCAGAGTGCAAACCCATGAAATGTCTGCCATCCCCATGAAAAATTTGTAAAGAAAAAAAATTATACTAGAGTAGCTAAAAATTAAGAAAATAGTATTTTTATTTTGTTTTCACTAATAATTATTATTCAGTTATTAATTAAGACCAACCTCTAGTTTTGCACTCTTTTCTACAAAATGAATATGCTGGTTTGACCCTAATGACATCAGAGTGTTTCCAAACACCTGCAATAATATAAAGCATATTATGTCATAAAATAATAAACAATAACAATACAAAAACAAGGATAACACTAACAATAACAACTTGATATGTCTGTTCATATTACACATATTCGGTAGCCTTTTGCCATGATGCGTGTACTTGGGAGGGTCCAGATAGTAATTACACAGCACATTCAATACCATTTTTTAGTAAACTAAACAGTTTAGATATTTTAAAATAGTATAAGCTTTTGTTTGGCATTTTTATATATGAGATTAATTATAATTTACCACACTCATTGAATCAGTATTGTAGTTAATTAAATCTTGATTATGTAACTAGACAAAGAAGAAGAGATGATTTACTTTTACTAAAAGTTTATTTAAATATATATGTAAAACATATTTTTCTTATGCTGGTTCTGATATTTGGAATGAGTTGCCTCTATCTATTAGAAATAATGTATTTCAATTCAAATTGCTTTCACTGATCATTTATTATTTAAATACTTATAGAACAGTAAATTTAATTATATATCTTATATTTATATATTTATGGTATGAGGATAAAATATGATATAATTGTGGCAAAGACAAGCCAAACCAATCACTCGTCGCAAATCCTGTTTTGGAGATAATGGCCAAAACATGCTGGAATTTCAAAATTTTGGAAATCTATTTTATTGCACTAAACCAACCTTTATATATCTATACATCATGCTATGCTGTTATTTTCCTCATTTTCAATGTTAAAACAACAATTTTTAACGATTTGGTGATGGTTTCTGCCTAAGAAATGCCTGAAATCGTAAACTTTGAAGGCTAATTTCTCAAATATTGTTCTTTAAACAGCTGTATGTTTAAACTTGTGTAACTTCATAACGAAATGTCGGATTTAAATGATTCTTTTACCATTTTATAGCTCTCATTTTACTGTTTAACCCTGTATTAATAACTAAAAATTGATTTTTGCGACGAGTGACTGGTTTGGCTTGTCTTTGCCACAATTACTTTCTTTCATAAATTTATTTGTTTAAATAATGTAACATGGGGCTAGACTGGATTAGTTAATGTGCTATTTTCTAGCTCCAATTTATCCACAGATTGTTACTTTATTTTATAGAATTGTATTTGCAGGAGGGGGAACAGAAAGAAAAATGCACTCATGTATACATAAGATTAAATGACACCCTCCCATCTTTTGAGAGACTTGTGAAAATTGTGAAGATGATCTCGAACTAATTAATTCATTGATAAAACTCACTTGTCTATTAAGCATAATTTTGGCAGCAAGCGACCAATCATAGCATCCGACAGCATCTACAAACCAATTGATTATTGCAGGATTTTCTACGATGCTTTCAAATGAGAGAACATCATATTCCAACAAACGTTTTATCTGTCTGTACGTCCTTTCTCGTTTTTCTTCAACTTTTAATTCTCTGTCGATGTGCTGAAACTCTGGATCAAGTTTTAATGTCTTCCAGATCTGGTTCTTTAGATAAAGAGTGTAATACAATATTTATTACATGTATGCACATGCATCGATCAAAGGTATTCCAGCACATAATGCTGAATGAAGGAATCTGATCATAATGATTGCGAAATATGTCTCAGACTTAAATCTATAGCTACATATTAAAAATTGATCTTTATAACATGACATGATTGCAATAATACTATTACCATAAATGGTGTCTACTAAAATAATATTTTTGAATTGATTTTTCAAGAAGTTAATATTTAAGAAAATTACTGTAAAACAAGAGTTGATGGTACTCTATAGATAAGATTATAACCTAATTAATTAATTCATTTATTTCAATTGAAACATTGGAAACTTAAACACAGACTAAAACAATTCAATATGCAGAATGAATTTTTACTCTGCAAATATTATAGGTTTTGTATTATTTAAAAGATCTTATAAACACAAGATAGCGTTCTCCACGATTTATGCGTGCAAATTCTGTAATAACGCAGTGTATGGCGCCCTTTTACAAAAGTGATTACTTTTCAACTTTGACCTTCACGCGTAACAATTAGAAGCGTTTGTTTACAATGCGCGCTTTCTTTAAAACCAACAAAACGTACTTGAACGAACTTTAGCATGACGAGAACACCTTAAATGGCAACATCTAGGGTGCCCTCTTTCAAGTGTTTACTTTTTTGCCAAATTGACGCTTCAATGTTGTTACGCGTAAAATCGCAGAGAACGTTACCTTGTGTTTTTAAAATCTTTGATATTTATATAATGCCAGCATCACCCAGAAATGACAATTAGCTTTAAAAACAAATAAACATTAATTGTATTGAAATCTGACAACTTGCTTAAATAAAAAGTTGACAATTCATACATTGAAGTGTTTGATTCAAGTATATTAGAGGAACGCACACAGTATCTTTAATAATGCCAGTGGACACTTAACAGTTTGCCCCCCCCCCCACAAATTCAAGACCCCCACAATCAAAATCAAATTCTTACAAAGACCAAATTTTCAAAATGTTTAATCTAATTTGGTCTTGAATGTGAGGACACACTGTTTAATTATCTTCAGGTTAGTTACTTCTGCTATCAAGCCCAAACAATAAATACATTAGCTTTTTGACATTACCTACCATATACTGTATTTTTGGAATGCCATCAATGGCTATTCTCATTTCCTTCCAATCAAATCTTGCTTTTGATCTGTAGGCATCCAGTGGGCCTGGTTTGAAGGTAACAAACCCAAGATCCTTGGGTATTTCTTTATCAGTCCTCAACATCTTCCAATATTCATATATAAATCAATATACAGTACTATAAATAGAAAAAAACTGTCTGATTTAAAATTATCAATAAACAATAAAATTTATTTCAAGAATTTAGGAAAAGTAACATACA